CACCCAGAAGATGGAGCAGGAGGTGATGTTCCCCAGCCTGCTGCGAGGGGTCTTCCCGCAGCAGGAGGGGACGGCCCCGGCCACGGGCGGCCACGCGGACCTCTACGAGCGCTACCAGCTCCTCAAGGCCATCAAGCCCATGGTGGAGAAAGGGCTGGCCTCTGTCAACGACCAGAACCCGACTGGCACCGACGCCGACACGTCCGTGGACGACAGCGGCAGTGTGGACGCCCAGCTGGAGGAGCGCCTGTCCCACCACCTGGCCGGCTTGCAGCAGGTCCTCACCCACCTCACGAGGGACACCAACGCCCTCACCCGGAGGTACAGCCAGATCCTGGAGCAGATCAGCCCCAGCGAAGGGCAGCCCAGCTGGTGACCCTGCCCTGGCCACCAGGTAAGAGCTGGGTGGGGGCATGCGGGACCCAGGGGCACCGGGGCAAGGGCTGGCCGCTGTCCTCAGGGGGGTCCCCAACACTGCAGCGGTGGGGAGCTCCGGGGAGAAGCCTTGAAATGGGGGATGTCCCCTCCAGTGCTGGCAGATTCCCATCCCCGTGCCGAAGGAGGGGACTCATCCCGCCAACCCTCCGCGCAGAGGCTGCGGGGGTCCAGGGTCTATAGAGACAGGGCTGGTGGGCCAGCTCTCTCCCTGGGGTGGCCTCTGGGCTTAAGGAGAGCTGCCGTTGCAGGATGGGTGCTGGTGGCACGAAGGAGAGGACGTCCCCGGCTCTGAGCATCGCGGGCTCATCCCCAGCCCCGCTCGCCCTCCCCGCACCGCGGCAGCTGACCTCCCCGCGCTCGCAGCACACGCCAGCGACGGTTGTGACCACCCGAGATCCAGATGGGGCCTTATCCTCATAGGAAGAAGCATCTGGTCGTGCTGGGAGGTCCATGGCAAGAGCCGCGCGCCCCGTGCCCTCCTCTTTATTTTCAAAGAGCGGCACGAAGGTGGCAGCGCTGCCCGGGGGCCCCAACCTCCGACGGTACCCTGCAACTGCCGAGCCCTTTGCCAGCTGGTTCCTGGACTCTGAGGGCGTTTTCCCCAACCTTTGCTAATAAAACAAGCCCTGTGAAGCCATGAGCAGTGTGGTGCTTCCCGCCGGCGGGAGCCGTGGGCGAGTGTCCCAGCGTGGGGCCGGGGGACACCGGTTCTGCCGGGAGGTGACTTTCCATGGCAGTGACGGGGAATGTGAAGGGACAAAGAATCACAGAATCGTGGGATGGTTTGGGTTGGAAGGGACCTTCAGAGACTGTCCAGTCCCAACCGCCCTGCCCTGGACAGGGACACCTTCCACCAGACCAGGTTGCCCCAAGCCCCATCCAACCTGGCCTTGAATCCGTCCAGGGATGGGGAATGTACAACTTCTCTGGGTGCCCTGTGCCTGTGCCTCACCTTCCTCAGAGTGAAATATTTCTTCTTGATCCCTGCTGCTGTGCATCTGGAAGAGGGGGTGGGAGACATCAACCCCTGCTAGAGAGGATCACCAGGTTCAGGGCTCTCTCCAAAGGTCTCCCCGGGAGTGTCCCACCGCTGCTGGTGCTGCCCCGTGCCCCACAGCTCCCAACACCTTTCTCCTGCCCATCACGGATTCCTGCCCCAGAGCTGCCCCAAGTGGGGCTGAGCCTGGGGACTGTCCCCACAGGGCAGCAGAGCTGCAGGTTTCAGCACCTTTGGAAAGCAGCTGCCCCCAGGACCCCAGCCCTGTGTCCAGACATGAAGCTTTGGCTTATCTTGGGGGTTCCCGCATCCTCTCGCTTGCTCAGGCCATTTCTCCTGGCTGTTGAGAGCCCGTTGGCTTTGGCTTGTCCTCCCTGAGCACGGGCAGCAGGGACAGGGTCTGCAGCCACCAGTGGCCAAGAGGCCAGTGGCGGCGGGGACGGGGGCTCTGGATGGGGCTGCTGGGGGCCAGAGCCAGAGCTGCCCCACAGCTGAGGGTCCTGGTCAGGTTCAAGCAAGGACGGGGAGAGTCCCAGGGGGCTTGGGGGGAGTCAGAGACATGGGAGGTGTGGCAGCAGGAGGTGCTGGGGATGACACGGGGACACTGAGAGAAACGTGTGGTGACATTTCCCCCCCCTCCCGAGCCATGGCTGGGGACGTGCTCCCCAGGAGGATGGTGGGTTGGGTCAAGGCTTGCCCAAACACCAGCTCTGTGGTCACACAGACCCAAGGAGCTCCTGGCATCACTGCCCAAAAATCTTGCTTTTCTGGAAAAGCAGCTGCCGAGCAGCAAATCCCCCCAAACGTGGGCAAACAGAAGTCCTGCCAGCCACTGTGAGGATTTCAGAGCAGATCCGCCCGCTGCGACCCTCCTCAGCCTGGGCAAAGTTGCAGCCTTGTTTTATTCAGGGAAAATGGAGCATGAGGGGGCTGCAGGGAGAGACTTAGGCCGTCCCCACTGCAGTGCCAGTTCCAACTGGGGCACGATGGTTCATGCTATGGGAGAACTGGAGCCGGGTGGTGGACATGGGGACTCCAAGCAGTCGTTGGAGCTCCTCTGCCTCCACGCTGATGGCAGAGCGAGGTGCTGAACCAAGAGCAGCCGAGGGACGTTGTTTGCAGGTGAGGTGAGGACCACGGAGGAGGTGATGTCCCTCTGGTGGTCTGCCCGGCTGGAGATCAGGGACGGGACTTTCGTCACCTGGAGAAGGTGGTGGTCACAGCGAGGAAGGCCTGCGGTCACCTTGGCAATGGCTTTTGGCTCGGGCTGCGTGCTGGCAGCTGGAGGGGCGGGTGGTGCCCCGGGGAGGTATCGTAGCGGGACGTGGGCCGAAGCGCTCAGCACCGCTGTTGAACAGCAGCAATTAGAGCCCCACGGCGTTCCCTGAAAAAGCCGGTGACGTGGGACAGCTGGCAGGACACGCGGCTGACTTTTGGGCCACTTGCAATCCCCCAGCACCCGCAGGTCCCTCGCTGCGCGCTGCTGTCTGGCCAGCCGGCCCCGACCCCGCTGGTTCACGGGGAGCTGGTGCCTGCTGCGATTGCAGGGCATTGCATCACGCTGCCCCCGGGGATGCGTCAGGCCCCGGCGGTGCCCTGCTGCTGCCCACCGCTGCTGGACGTGACTGATAAGAGACGCGAGGTGGTAACAGCAAAGGTCTCTGTCCTTGAGAGACGCAGCGGAAGTCCCTGGCGGGACGAGGGCAGGGGGGGCAGGTCGGGCCCTCTCCGGCGTGGCAGCGGGATGCTGGCTCCGTGCTGCCCTGGAAAGGCTCCCGGGGCACCGGCACTGCTGCCCGCTGCCACCGGGAAACGGCCTTTTGTTCCCATTGTTGAGGCCAGTTGGGATTGCAGCTTTGTTTCTATCTGTTTAACGCCATCTAATAAAGCAGAAAGCAGTGACCCGGGCACACGGGCTCAGTATCAGGAAGGCAAGAGATAAAGCACAGTTTTGGCCGAAAATGTCAAAGGAACGAGAAACTCCAAACACCCTTTCCTACCCAGCCCCAAGAAGCCCCAGTCCCACAGTCCCACCACCCCCACGGACGGGTGGGCTGCCAGCACCCCCACCCCCCCCCAGGGCAGGTTCCCTCCTGCACAGCCCTGCCTTTGGATTCGGGGGAGCTCTGGCCCCGGCCGTACCCCCCGCTGCTGCCCATCGCCCGCTCGTGCAGGCGCCGGGGGGGACGCACCCCACCAAGTCTCGCCCGCGCACCCCAGGTCTGGCTGCCCAGGTGGCCGAGTCGGCCGTGGGCCATCGAGGTGTCCTCAGGGCAAGGGTGGCCACCAGCCTCCCGAGAGGACGTGGAGCCAGGGGATCCCTCCCCTCTGCTCAGCCCTGCTGGGCCACGTCTGGGCTCCCCAGTACAACAGAGCCGTGCACGTGCTGGAGAGAGCCCAGGGAAGGGCCATGAAGGTGATGAAAGGACAGAAGCATTTTCCACCTGAGGAGGGAGAGATGCTGTTTGAGCTGGGACTGTTCAGCCTGGAAAAGCCTCTGGGGGAACTTACCCATGTGTATAAAGACCGAATGGGGAGTGAGGAGGAGATGGAGCCAGACTCTTCCCCGTGGTGCCCAGGGGCAGGACAAGAGCCCACGGGCACAAACTGGAGTTCGGGAAATCCCGTCTGAACATTCTTACAGGGAGGGTGGTCGGACACAGTCCCACGTTGCCCAGAGAGGTGGTGGAGCCTCCACCCTCAGGGATACCCCAACCCCAATCCTGCTGCTGACCCCGCTCGGGCAGGGGCTGGACCACATCATCTCCAGAGGTGCCTTCCAGCCTCTCCAGCGCTGACCTGGCCCTGGCCCTGCCTGGTGCCCCCGTGCTGGCAGCCCAGGAGCTGGCTGCAGGCTGCTCGGGGCAGCTGATGGGGACGATTCTTGGCCGGGCCTGGGCTGTGATGCCAGCAGAGCTGCTTTCAGCAGCGTCCCACCGCCTTGGACTCCTGCTCTGGCCCCTCCAAGGTCTCTCCCTCAAACTGGGAGCATTGATGATTCCTTTTAGGCTAACACCCTCTTGATTTTCACAGTCCCTTTTGTAATTCCCGGCTTACTATTTAATGGCCATTGTCCTCTTTAACATACCCACTTTTGGGCAAACACCCTTCAAACAATTATCTCCTGTTCATTATCCCCTTCTTTTAGCAGGGTGTGGTTGAGCAGTGTTTATGGAGGACACTCCCTCTCCACAAAACTACATCCCTTGTTCTTCCCTCTTCCTCAAAACTGCCCAAATCAAGGCAGCTTTTCCATGGAGCTGCCTGCAGCCTGCCCGCACTGGGGGTCAGGAGCTGGACCCACTTTCTGGGGGGCCCTGGAGCTGTGGGCGGTCGTGGGTACGGGACAGGAGCCGTCGGCAGAGACCCCAGGCACCCCCCTCCTGGCCGCCCCGCTCCCGGCGTGGGGACGCAATGGGACCCCCGGCCAGCTCGGGCCAAGGCCACGGGGAGGCTGGGCCGGGGCAGATTGCGCAGAGCCGGGGACACGGCGCGGCCGAGCCCCAGCTGGGCTGGAGCCAAGCCCGGCCCCACGGCCATCCAGCCTGGCCGGGGCTGGCAGCACAGGACAGCAGCGGGGGGACGTGCCCCAGCACCGCATAAAAAGCCCTCGGCGGGGACGGGGAGCAGGCAGCACCCCGAGCAGAGCCCCCAGCAGCACTGCCGGAGCCGTGGGAGCGGGACCATGGAGCAGTACTTCTCAGCCACCCAGAAGATGGAGCAGGAGGTGATGTTCCCCAGCCTGCTGCGAGGGGTCTTCCCGCAGCAGGAGGGGACGGCCCCGGCCACGGGCAGCCACGCGGACCTCTACGAGCGCTACCAGCTCCTCAAGGCCATCAAGCCCATGGTGGAGAAAGGGCTGGCCTCTGTCAACGAGCAGTGCCTGAGCGGTGCCGACGCCGATACCGCCCCAGGTGAGGGTGCAGACAGCAATCTGGAAGAGCGCCTCTCCCACCACGTCAACGGCTTGCAGCAAGTTCTGACAGACCTCACCAAAAACACCAACGCCCTCACCCGGAGGTACAGCCAGATCCTGGAGCAGATCAACCTCAGTGAAGATCAGTCCAGGTCTTGATCCTGCACCCCCATCCTCTGAGGTAAGAGCTTGGGGAGCTGCAGTGCCAAGGAGGGGCTGGCTGGCAGGTAACATACTTTATCCTCTTGCCCCAGCAGCTGGGTGGCTTTCCAATGTTTGCATCACACCCCCAAATCCCAGGAGTTATGAGTCTGCACTCCATTGCTCAAGAGATGCATCCTCCTGGATTTGTCTTTCTCAATTTTGCAGTGGTGCAAGCTCTGCCACTGAACAAAGGTCACTCTGTGAGCTCAGCGTTGTCCCCAAGACTCCCCAGCCTGCAGCACAGGCAATGTCTGGCTGGTTTTGGGCAGCCACTAAAGATCCCAGGGAGAAAATGGCCACGTTGTTGGAGGACCCTGAGATGTGGACTCCATTAGCTGCCAGACACCAGTGGTCTGGCTGCTTCTCTCTTGACTGTTATGGAAACCACAACAGAGTCATTTTTAGGGAGCAATTTGTCACTTTCAGGTCTCTAAATGTCTAAATTTGACACACCACCTGCAAACATATCAGATGCTTCAATTCTCCCCTAGACTGGGGGATGGAAACCCATTCTCCATCCTGGTGGGGCTTTCATCCCTGAGAGCCCTTGGGGAGACATCTCTGTGCTCCACCAGAGATGGGGCTTATGGCCAAGCTCCTTGTAGTGAAATGGAGAGCGCAGAAAGGTGACAGCAACAACAGGGAGCATTAACGGGGACTTCACAATGTTAACCCTTGTTTTGGGGGAAACATGGCCAGGAATGACAGTGTCCCAGCCAAACCGTGTTGGTTATCCCCACAGGGTGATCCATCGTCTGCAGCCCAGCGGCACTTTTTCCGCTGCGCCAAGTCCCACTGAAGAAGGTCCTCTGTGAGCAGTGCAGACCTTTGCCAGCTGCCTGCCAGGCACTGCCTGTACCATCCAACTCGCCCTGCGGTCAATCCTGCCAGCAACCTTGCTGCTTTGTTTCACCCCTGTCCCAGGGGGATTTCTGTGGGGCAGAAATGAGTGTTTCACATTATCGCTTTGTAGAAGGCGTCTGTAACTTTGAAGCGATTCTTTCTTCTGCATGTGTGTAAGTCCCCATCCCAACTGGTCTCTCTGATAATATAAATGAAACATAAATCCTCGTGCGAATGTGTCCTCTGTTTCCCACCAGCTCTCACTTCTGTATTGCTACTGTTCCCCAGCCCTTGACGATGAGGGGACGTTGGCCATCGAGGCCACAGTCCTCTGCAGGGATGTGAGCTGGGTTTCTCTGGTGGGGAGTGGGAATCAGGCTTGCGTTGGGATGCATGTTCCCCCAGCCCTCTGGCTTTCACACCTTGCAAAAACTTGGTGTAATCCTGCCATCATCGTGGGCTGGGTGCTGGGATCCCAGCCTCTTTCCTTCCCTTCCCCAACATTTCCTCCTCTCCCGGACCCCCAACTTCTCAGCTCCCCAACCTAATCAGTACCTGCACATCCCTTCCCTCAGACCACACCCATCCAGCCCTTCAGACCCAGCACCATCTCCACCACACACAGCCCTGGGGACAAGCTGCCACAATCCCCGCCAGCCCCAGCAACACCAGGGGTGCAATTGTGCCTCCCCTCTGCTTGGCCGTGGCACCTTCTGCAGTGGGGGGCAGAGGGGGAGGTGAGGATGCTCAACCGGGATGAGGAGGAAGGCAGGGCTTCGCTTGCCTTCCATCCCTGTGAGCTGGGGGGGAGTGCAGAGGCAAACCCCTCACTGGATGGGCGGGCAGGGGCTGCAAGCCCTTCACAGGAGGGTCGGAGGCTTCAGCACAGGCTGGATCTCAACTCCAGGTGACTCCTTCTCTCACTGACACACCACCTGGGGAAGTCTTAGTAAGCTGGGCACTCAAGGGAGGTGTCCCCTGGCCTCTTCAGGCCACTTTAAAACAAATTCAGCTGAAACATCACTGCTTTGACTGAAAAAAGCACTGGTCTTCCATCAGCTCTGCAGTTTTGATCAAAGAAACTGGAAATCTTTAAGCACCTGTGTTGAGAGGAGGATTGAAATAATGAGTTGGGCTGCAGGCTCCAGTTGCGTTGCATGTGTTGCTGCACATGCTCTCTGAACCTGCCGTCTCTCAAGAGTGAACTAATATCCTTCAGACTGAAATCAGAGACTCATCAGCTTTAAAAGTCTCAGTTTAAAATGAGCAAATGTTCTGCAGATGGTTCCCCTGTTACTTCCCACTATCCGAAGGCAGGTCCATGCCTTGGTCATGGGTTCACGTTTATGACAACCCTCACAGTGGGGCCCTGATTTCTCAGCAGCACTTTGCAGTTCCACAACACTGTAAAGAAACATAAAATCAAGAATTCCAACCCTTGCTTTTATTTTAGTGAAAGTCTAATAGAAAAGAAAATAAAAGAGAAAACTTACTTCACAATTTAAAAACAAAATGCACTGTGGCTTCAAAGCATCCCCCTACCACACCCCCTGCCCTGACATCCTGATAAACGGTAGATGCTATCTCAAAATTAGTCATGCTTAAATCTCTGCACAGTCTCAAAAACATCCCAGAAGCATCAACTGATAGTGTTGAGCAAAAGAAAAGACGTATTATTTTTTGCCTAGTTTTCCCATTTTTTTCTTACCTTCCCTGAAACTTTGGGAACCCACCACGGCTGAAAAGAGAAGGCTGTGTCATGCAGGGTAATGGGACTGGGAAAATGTCTTGGCAAGGAGGATAACTCAAGCCTGGGGATCCCACTATTGCTCTTCAGGTCTGCTGTGCCCATGGAGAAAGACCCAAGGGCTGGAAGACCCAGGTTTGTCTGTAGCCCCTCTACCAACCACGCAGAGGTCTGGAAGAAACTCCCACATCTTGCCCAACCACAGCTCTGAGGATGCCAATGTAGGGGCAGAAGCATTAACATTTTAAAGTGTATGGTGGGTGCAGCAAAATACTGCAGCATCTCCAGCTCTCGTGGTCTTAATTTTTTCACTGTGTGCATCCACGTGATTAGATGAATATCTAGTCATTTGTTTAAGAAAAAGACCTGTTGTCCCTTGTGACTAAGGGAATTATCTTCAAATGTGCTATGCAATCATTTTAAAGCTCAAAACCAGAATGCAAATAAAAAGGACTCCCACATCTACATGTGGAGGGGACAAAAATATTTGTAAGTTACATATTTATATCTTATACAGAGATACACTCCATATGCATTATTATATATATACGCATACATTAATCTCTGTTTCAGACAAAACTTCTCATGGGGAGGGACCACACTCAGATTTTGGAGGAGACAATTTATGACATAGAATTCAGGACCTTTGAACACTGTATTTTTTGCCCAGCACTCCTTGCATGATCTTGGTTAACATTTTGCCAGCCTGGTCCTCAGCTTCCTCTTCTCATTGCTTAAAAGTTAATTACTTAGGGGGAAGACATGGTGTGCAGAGCAAAGGCAATTTCTTGTTTGCTGCATCCTGTTCTTCCAAGGTTTCTTAGAGAGATACACTCCCTGAAAAGCCCAGCACTGCACAAGGACAAATTAAGGTATGCATAAACTGTTGCAAATGCAGGGCAGGAGTGAATACAAACCAGAGCTTATAACTGCACTGAAGCTCCCCAAAGGGAACAAGGCATTTCTGCCACAGTATGAACATTGGGAAATGCCCCTATTCCACCCAGTCTGAGCTGCTGTCATGTGGAAAGTGTAAGCAAAATGTGAATAATGTGTGAAATGGGGACTGTATAAACCATTTAATTGCATCAACAGCCTAAGTCAAGGGAGGAGGTGCTAGAAAAAATATCCCCCAAACCACATATCCTTTGACATTAGCATTTCACCAGGGGACAGGGATATCTGCCACCAATACTCAGAGGGAGCCCCAAAAGTATAGATCCTTTTCCTAGCTCCCCAGCAGCTTATGGACAGTAGATGCCCAAGGATTTCCTCTTGATTGGATCCTTGGTCTCACAGGGTCACAGAGATACACAGCCAAAGTCTGTCTTCTCTTTCCTTCCTTATTTCTGTGCATCTAGCTGGCAGCAAATGGTCTTATCTTTCAGCCTTGCTTTTCCATGACTGGTACAGCCTCTTCTCTCCTACCACCAGCCTGCAAGATGCAAGTTGTAGCCTCAGCAAGACCAGGCATAAACCCACTGGTTGGGCTGCCATCCTTCATAGACTGTATTGAAATACTCTTCACAAGGGCATGTAGCTATAGGACAAGGGGTAATGGCTTTAAAGTGAAACAGGGTAGATTTAGATGAGATCTAAGGCAGAAATCCTTCCCTGTGCGGGGGGTGAGACGCTGGCCCAGGGTGCCCAGAGAAGCTGTGGCTGCCCCCTCCCTGGAAGGGTTCAAGGCCAGGTTGGACGGGGCTTTGATCAACCTGCTCTGGTGGAAGGTGTCTCTGCCCATGGCAGGGGGGTTGGAACTACATGATCTTCAAGGTCCCTTCCAACCCAAACCATCCTATGATTCTATGAAATAATCCTCTTTTCTGGCTAGACCAACAGCATCAGCCTGAACTTGGACTGGAGACAATGCAGTGTCCCTCAAGATGGAGTGACCAACTGAATGGACCCTGAATAGGACTGCTGTGTGACAGGAACTCGGGAATAGTTGCACCCACTCAGCTCTGCCCCACATCTTCCATGTGGCATGTCAAGAGCTGGGGGAGAGCTCAGGAAGGGAAAGCACATGAGGATATAGAGAAAGACAGGCAAGAAGAGAGCACTGCTGTATCTAGTTTGGCTTCTTGCTCCAGGAAAGCCTACAACCTAAGCTGAACATGATGTAAGCATGGGAAAGAAGTCAGTGGGCATAAGGATGAGGAGAATATTGTGGTTTCTAAACAATGTGGACACTGATGGGCCTGTTGGGTTGTTTTAAGTGATGGGAATATGAGTGGTTATGTCTATATCCTGAGGATGCCTCTCTCTGTTTGTTTACTAAGGATGGCACAGGCGTCTACCTGGCCAGGAGGTGTTTTGCTCCCTTGGTTTTTGATGATGTCCTGGAGCCTGTGGCAAGACAGCTCAGATCTTGACACAAGCCACTGGCTATGCATTCCCCAGGTCCATGACGGTGGGTGGAGCTGATGAATGGTTGGAAGGCAGCAGGTAGCCAATGGTGTTTGCACAGCACGTGGCTGATTTAGGAGTGGCTCCTGGACAGCAGAACCACCATCCCAGCTGCATCGGTGCAATTCCTGAGCAGAGCTAAAGCAAACTGCTGATGGTTTTGCTTTTCAGTCTTACCACACTTTGCCCTTCTATGCTAGAAGTTCAGACACATGCGGGTCTCCCCCTCGCTGGACACTGCTGGCTCCACCGGTAATAAATCCCCAGGATGTGTCCATGCGAGATGCAGATGGAGCAGTGTCAGTGAGAGCTGATGTGAGGACAGCAAGCTCTTGGATCCCAAGTGCCCATGACTGGAGACAAAGAAATCCTTCACAAATTACGCAAGGCTGGCCACAGGTCACCAGAGCAACCTGGCAATTTGCAGGTGTCAGCAAAGAGAGAAAAAAAAAAAATCTTTTTTTCCTGTGACCTTTGCAAGACCTTTCTTGTCTTGGTGCATTCCCCGTCAAATTCCAGGACAGAGATTGGGATCCCCTGTCAAGCCCTAGCTGGAGCAAACACTATCCACATGGGCATTCAGAAAAGCTGTGCAAAGTTTCTTGCCTCTCCTCTTTGCAAACACATACACTGCTATTTAAAATAACCTGGATCATTCCCTAGTTTCCATGGGAATCTCCGCCACTGATATGCCCTTGAGCAGATGGGTCCTGGGAATCAGCTTCTTTAGGTGCCCTTTCCACCCATTTCTCATCACTCCCAGCAGTGATAATGGTAAGTGGCTGTAATACACCATGAAGGGTGGTGATCAGCTATGGATTGCCACCTCTATGTTCCAGGCAAATGGTCCAGAGCAAAAGGGTTTTATGCCCTCAAGAAACTTAGATACTGGAGAGAGAACAAGAGGAGAAAGGCAAACAGGAGCTGCTCCCAGCTGCTTCTCCACATCCAAACTTCTCCTTTCTCTTCCTGTTTTAAGCATATAATTATTTTTTTTTTCCCTTGGACTTAGTGTATTTACTTGTACTAGGGCATAGAACTCAAATCTTAATGTTGTTGATCTAATTCTCCTGAACAGAAGCTCCTAATTCAATGTGCTAAGGTAATCCGTTAAAAATACTTTTATGGATAATACAATTTTCCAAACTGATGTATGTACCAGCATAGAGACATTCTAGTTCATTGTTATGTACATATTTATACAAATTTCAAAAAACACATAATTATTCCCCACAAAGACATTGTCAAGTTATTCATTCTTTGGCAGACACAAAGTTCTCAGCATTAGTATAATTATTCTTATGAATCATACTGTAGCTGCTCCTACAAGGTCCAAGCACAGGCTAATTAATCCTTTATGCAAAGATAGTGAAAGGATTGTCCCCGCCTGAAAGAGCTTATAGTCTTGGAAATATCCTTCTTCTGTTAAAAAAACACATAGTCAGAGAGAAATCTACATTTGAAATGTCTACAAAAGAAATGTCAGGGCCAGTGGCCACCCCGAGCAGAATAGGCAGGAGGCTTGAGGCATCACTGTGCTCGAGGAGCCGGGAAAGGAATGAAAAACATCCACTTGGTTCTTCTTCCTTGTCCTCCTCATGGCTCTGTGACCCATTTGGGCAGCTGGACCCTCCAATAGGTGTCAGCTTCAAGGACGGGACCTTGCTGATCCTGCTTGATCTCTGCAAACATCCTCAGAGCTCTCTCTGCTCAACAGCGAGCAGGTGGATCCCCAAGAGACCACCAGTGCATCAGACACAGCTTTAAAAGGCCCAAAAGATGAAGGATTTCAGGGATCTAAGCCAACTGGAAACAAGCATTAAGCCAAATAGAGATCCTGGGTGGAAATTCCAGATTAATACAAATCAAATCCCATTCCTCAAAGGGAGAAACCCAGCTAACCTCCCTGAAACGGCAGTGGCAAAGGCCTCTCCAGGGGGTGTGGAGCAGCTGCTACAATGGAGATGCTGATTGTGGGAGTCCCAGGACCCTGATTGCCAAAGGCTGTGGAGACTTGCATGGCTTTTTACTCTTCTCTTGGCTTTTTACTTCCTTCTCAAGGGAACAATGAAATTCAAACTAGCCTCAGCTAGCTGCTACCAGCAGTATGGACTGCTGAGAGTCTTGTCGGAGCTGCCTCCTCCAGTCTTCTCCAAAACCCTGATCCCACTTTTGCCTTTCATGGGATGCTCCCCCACCCACTGGTTTCCTCAGCATGGCTTTGACCGTGGGGTAAAAAGAGGACTGACAAACTGCAAGAGTGACTGTTTCCACTTAGTGCAGGCACAGAGGGCTTTGATGAAGAGTTGGATGCCCGAACAGCAAAGCTGCGACACCGAACAGCTCAGATGTGTGGTCCTAGTAATCCAGGATGCCACTTCTGGTGTGACCACCTGAAAAAAAAGCACCAAAACCCCATGGGCAGGCAGCAACATGTCAGTGGCTTGGGGGGTGAGTTCTTCCTAAGGCCTCTTTTGAGATCAGAGGAATTTGGCGGTTTAAATCAAATTCATCTTGAAAAGGGGGGAAAAAATCCTACTGGGAGTAATTTGCATAGCAAGACTAAAAAATGCCATCTTAAAGCAAGTCATGCAGTTGGTGGGATTAAAAAGACCCAGAAGAAGCACAAATGATAACAATCGGACTTTTCACATACATGGTGACTTCCAGCACAGACTTTCAGGCTAATTCTTTGTCCCATAATGTGCCAGCAAAAGTGGCCAAGATAGAAAAAAGGAGTAGAAGAGTAGGGGAACCAGACCAGTATGTTCATCAGACTGAAGGATCAGCTGTGATTGGTCTAGCAGTAGAAAAGAATTGTGGATGTCAGCTAACAACTATTCCTTTTGCTGAAGTAGTAAGGATCTGGGCTGTGGTACTGAAGATTTGGCTTCAAATACCATCAGCTGCCCTTGATTCTGGTTTGGGAAAACCTTCCAGATGACCTTTTGAACAAAGTAACCTCTTTACTGCTCTTCACCCTTCCCTAGTAAAAAGCTTGTAGGAGCAGAGAAGTGACGGTTCCCCTGTCTATCCAGTTCTGCATCTGCAGAAAAAAAAGTTATCACCTCCAGCATCAAAGATGTGACATATAGAATGACTCTGAACTCCACCTCTGACAGTTATATACGGGATATTTTCTGAAACACCTATGTGGGACAGCCCAAAGAATGGGATTTGCAGGAATCAAAGGCCCAGAACATGTAGATCTTACAGCTCTCCCTGTTTTCCAATAAGCACTGATTTTTTAAAGATTTATTACAGGTCACAAAACCTGGGCTCCCATGCAGACCTCACTAGTGCATCCAGCACTATTCATTCCTCTGGTCTGGCAAAGGGAAAATTCAAATAGCAGATATAACTCAGACACAGGTATGAATGAGGATCCCTCAGGATGCTTCAGAGCAGCAGAAGCAGAATGTAAGCTGGCTTTGATGAGAGGTTCACCCAAATGCACAAAACATTCAAAAGAATCTGGGTCCAGCTTTGACAGAGCCTTGGGTGCAGACTGGCTTTATTCTCAAGGTGAGTGAATCAGTGCAAATTATAACACTTTTTGCTCTGTGCCACAAGCTTCTGGTCAGATCAGTGCTGTCTCCTGAGAGGCAACAGATCCAGCAAAATCCCTGGAGGATGCAAAATTAGCAAAGCTGGTGTCCTTGAACACAACGCAGATTTTGTGCAAATAGTTTCCTCACATACCATGCTCTCATTTTCCATCATTAAAATCTCCCCCAGGAAGATTTCTGGGAAGTGCTTGTATTTGTCTGAGACTTTTTCTTTGGTTGCTGGTATCGGAAAGCAGCTTGAAATGAAAGAGAGTGAGGCAAGGTTTGTAGGGGAGATAACATCTTTTATTAGACCAACAGAAACTGGATAAAAATTGAAAACACCCAATGAAGCTGAAACAGAAGCTGACAAACAAGAAAGCCTCATGTACCCTAAAGCGTGGATGTTTTTATCCATCTATATCAGCTGATCTAATAAAAGATATTGTCTCTTGTTACAAACATTGACTTACACCTCTGGACAATCATGTCCATGGCAATTTTGCCACTGTAATGGAATAAAGACACAGAAGCGATGAGTGGCCTAAAGACAAATTTGAAACCAACAGCGCATTCAGAAACACCTCAATTAAAACCCAGGAGAGTCTGCAGGCCTGTGGTTCAGATCTGGAGAAGTTATTTAGGCTCACTGTGATGTGATCCTCTGCATTTAAAAAATGGACACAGACATCTCTGTGAGTGTTTCGGTGCTGCGAGAAACAGTCCCACTACTACTAAATATGTGGTGCTCTTCACTTTCAATATTTGGCAGATAGAGGATATTAGAAAACAATGTCATATAGAGATACTAATCAAATACTTATGACCAACTGAAAAGAATAGTTCAGGCTCAGAGATTCAAATTTAGTTTTATTTACCTTGCACAAATTACTCAGCACCTAAAGATTGTATTGGTAAGGAAGAAAATGAACAGATTGTAGACACCCTGATCTGTCATCGCTGGGTATGACAAATGGAATCCGTGAGATAGTTTGGAATAAACTGTGCTTTAAAACAGCAGTGCATGGAAGCCAAAAAGCTGTGAAAATATTTACTGGTTTTGATGCAATGGGTTTGTGGGGCAGAGGCGGTCACGCAGGCACATATTGTGGGGCTCCTCAGAGGTGCTCTGGGCACTTGGCCTCCTTTGGAAAGGATTATTTGGCTCTTAGTCACTGCACAGATAGTATTACAGGTGTGCGCTGGCAGCCAGTCCAAATCCACCCTTCACCTTGCTGGTTGCCAGAAAACTAACGAGCAAACACTTCCGCTTTCAGGCTGTTCCCTCCCCTCTCCCTACACCTGCAACCTGTACCAGGGCTGTGCCTGGAGCAAACTGGAGCAGTGGCTGGGCTGGAAGCTTGGAAAAAACCTGACCCAACGAAGAAAAACCAAGTGAAAGAGGACTGGAGCACGGCAGGGAGCCATCCTGCGTGTCAGGCGGGACCCCAGCACTGAGCAGCAGGTTTTCCCACACAGCTGAGCCATCAGCTCCCCGGGGGAGATGAGCATTTCGTCAGAGCACAAGCCCCTTGCGAAGCAGGTGACCAGCAGCCTGCATACAGTGAGTAAGGTATGAGGTCTGGGAAAGTTTACTCCTGTGGGATCAAAGTATCCCCTTTGGGCTACATTAGAGGGTTTTTTAGTCCCATCTGCTATTTTGAAGACACCAAGGCTTGCCAGATATGTGACCAAGGAGAGGACTCTAGGTAAAAAGCTGTGTCTGACTCCGTCCTGTTCGCACCAGGTTGCTTACAGAAGGGCTGTCCCTCGGAGGCTTACAAGTTCTGGCAACAGCAAATAGCCAGAGTGGTTCTTTTTCTCCTTTGGCAATAGGTGGAATTAATTTAATATGAACTTTAAGTGGTCAGATCCCTAAATAAAAGCCAGTTGTGAGTTTTGGGGGTTTTCAACAGTTCTTAGAGTTTCTAATGAGGCAAAAAACCTGCCCTGTGTTGTAGACATGCAGACTCATCAGGTGGGAGCAGTTTTTCTAGCTCTAAGGAAAATGAATGGCTATCTCATACAAGTGGCATATTACTAGGCAGAAATCAGTGATGAGATTAGATGGCATTTTCCTTTTCCTCTCCTCTCCTCTCCCCTCAATCTCTTGCTAACCAGTTTGTCTTCTCCATTGTAGCTGTACAGCCTCTCCCCAAAACCTCTCTGTCTTTAAAAAATCCAACCTTCCTGTGTTACACTTTTCAGGTGTAGGCTGCAAAATGTTTCCCCAAGGAGGTAACTGTTTTTCAGATTAACGAACTAAGGCACAGATAGGTGGAATGACTCTCCGAAGTGTTACCTCACTAGCTAATTACAGAGCTGGGAATCAGCTGGTGCCAGTACTCCCAGCCCACTGGGAGCCAGTTTGGTCCCAGGCTAAAACCATTAATCAAGATCTGAAAACATAAGGTTAGTTGGGCTACTGTATTAATGAAGAACATGTTATCCACTTGTATTAATGACAAACAGTATGAAATATCTGGCCTGCCATCTGAAAAAGGAGCGAAGACGCAAAAGCATGAGACCCTCCTATCAAATGATCCCTGCTGGGGAAAGCTGTTGCTATCACTTGCACTAAGGGCAGATTTCCTAACCCAAAGGCTTTATTAAAGAAACAGCTTTGGGCTATGTTCTTCAGTGGGTGGAAAACACCAGACAGTCTCAGACAGAATAATTTTTTATGTCCCCTTGGCCTTAGTGTAAATGATTGCCCTCAAGATGAAGCCACCCACACCGGGGCAAAGCAATATTCCAGCTGGGTCTTTGGCCTGAATCTTCTGTTGTTTCCCTGGCTTGCCTAGGCTGTGAGCAAATTTCTGCTATATGTGATAGCTTGCTGCTGCTTAAAGGGAAAGTCTCGCCCTGCTCATGGTTAGCTATTCCTGGTCCCTTCCTTTTGCTTGTTAAAACCTCTGTGAGCCAATTCAGCTCAGTAAGATGAAGGAGAAGCAGCGCTGGCATGAGGTGAGCAACAGAAACACATGGGCAGGTACAAGGATGGAAAGGGGAGAGGGCAGCAGGAGCTCCCCCTTCTCTTGGTGTGAGCTGTGAGATCAGCTCACGTCATTCCATGGGTCTGTACCTAGGGAATCCAGCTAAGCACTTAAGTACACGCTTCACTTGAGGCATGTGACTGGTAGCACTGAGGCAGATCTTCGTGTGATCGGATCCAGGAAAGAGCAGGTGAGCTCCTGGAAAGAAAGGTTGTTTATTGATTCATGCCTTCCCAATGGCAGGTGTGGTCCTGGCCTGGCATGTGACTTGCATTACAGCAGTGACGGCAGGAGGGAAAATAACTGCCTCCTTTCTTCGCTCTCATTTTCCTCTACTGGGCACTATAAAAAATGAGTGCAAAGGGAGGCTGTTAAAACTCTTCAGCACTGAACTGTCAGAAGAGTCAGACTGGGCACCAGCTCCAGCTTTCCGGGCTTTCAGTACTCCTCCAATGTGTTTCAGATAGCAGTGGTGTTAATGTGTGGTGAAATAAAATAAATCCAAACAAATATCCAAACTTTACATTCTTCTTCCTTAAATCCATGTCAGTTGCATGAATTATTTCCTTTACTTCATAGCTAAAGCTATCATACATTTTTAAAGTGCTTTGCTCAACAGCTTCTGTGCTCCACCTCTGCCATGCCAGATTTTCCTGTCTTACTTCAGTATTTATAACTAAACCCTCAGACGAGTGGAAGCTAATTCCACCCATTTGTAAAGTTTCAAAGAGCTTTAGTTCCTCCTTTGAAGAGAAAATACCATCTTGGGTGAGAAGAGTGGAGTTGCACAGCTTTGAGCTCTATCTGTGTCCCTCTGCACATGGGGAGGGTGAGAGCTCACGGACTGCTCTCACTGTAAGGACAAGGGCCAACAAGGGCAATACTTGTGTAGGACTTATGAGATCAATGTTGAATCCTATAGTCACTGACAGCTTCCCTGGGCAGTGTACTGCTTGTCCCTCTCCCTCACTGGCAAAACAACACTTGCCTACATCCCAAAGATGTGGTGAGGACTTAGCCATTTAGAAATGCCCAAGTCTCTGCTGCTCTGAGGGCTGTATAAACATCCTCCATCTGATTTAGCAATAAATGGGGTGGATGTTTCCATCTGTCCCCCAAGAGGTGGGGGCTCACACCACTCTTCACACCGTCATTCCAATTTCCAGCTGAAATCACCTTTTTTTTTTTTTTTTGCCTTTTTTTTGCCTCTTCCTTGATACTTCCTTGTTGACAGCCTCAGACAGGTAACACATGTGGCTTTTTGTCCCCCTGTGATACTTGCAGTTGTCACCAATCGTGGAGTTAAATGTTGGCGGGGAGATGTACACGACAATGCTGAGCACCTTAAAGAAACACCCTGGCTCCAAGCTGGCAGAGATGTTCACCGGCCAGCCCAAACTCAGGACTGACTCCGAAGGGAGGTTCTTCATCGACAGGCCAGGCACCTATTTCAAATACATCTTAGAGTACCTGCGCAGTAACCAAGTGCCCACCCAGTGCATCCAGGACGTCTACAAGGAGGCGTTGTTCTACGACATCGAACCTCTAATCAAGCAGCTAGAGGACTCCCCGCAGATCTTCGGGGAGCTGGTGGCGAGGAAGCAATTTCTGGCTCGTGTGCCCAACTACAGTGAGAACGTCGAACTGATGATCCGCATCGCGAGGGCGGAAGCGGTCGCAACCCGCCAGTCCAGCGTCATCGTGTGTGTGGTCAGAACTGAGGAGGACGCGGCCAGATGTCAGGACGCCTTGAGCAGCTTGGACATGGATAAAAAATCCGTGGTGAAGTTTGGTCCCTGGAAGGCAGCACCAAGTATTTCTGATCTGTTGGACTGCATTCAAATGGATGTAGAAGCCAAAGGGTATAAAATATCCTTTCAGCCCCACGTTGCTGAAAAAGGTTTTCGCTTCAAATCGCATGACTTCTTCTACAAGTTCCTGTTCACCTGGTGGTAGTAAAGTGCTGCCATCGATGGAGAATGGAAGACAGCTATTATTAAAACAAATTAACTTGGGCTGTGGAGACTAAGCCATGGACTACTTGAGGGACAGGATGAAATGCATGGGCCAACTAAAGGATCTCCTTTCATCGTCGGACAAATTGAAGAGCACTTATAAGCCACTGTTTACCTGGGCTTTAGGGGATAACTGTACAATTTAAAAGGTATCAGGAAAAGGAGGAATTTTACTCTTTGTGCTGCTGACAATTAAATAAGTTCAGAGAGCCAGATCTAAGGGTCAAGCCAACCTCACTCGACCTAAGAGAAATGAATAATCCCAAATACATCTCATGGACATGCAGAGTTGGTCTCTCAGTGAAACAGGAACAGGTCACACACATGCAATTCCCGATGTAAACACTGATAGCTGCATTAACACATGCTCAAATTAAATTTGGATCCCTAACAAGAAGACAAAAGCGCTTTTTCTCACTGTTTTCCATACCAGAATTTATGTTAAAAGAATTTTTTAACCTCCGTGCTCTTCTTGTTCCTCCAGTAGACAGCCTACTCTCTAGACAATGTATTTATTACTGTTATTTATTATTTATTCTGAAGGAAAGACAGAGAGCCTCAGCTATGGTCCAGGATCGACAAAAGGTAAAAATACCATTACTGATCTGAGGAGCTTATAATGTAAGGACATGCACTCCTCTCTCAGGCCACACTATTTTAATATTTTCCTTATGACATTCATTATTATTATGATACTATTTCTAAATACATAAGCTTCTGGAAGAATAGGGAAAACCCACCATAATTTGATGGGTGGGTCTGTCATTGAAGTGACAGTCTGGGACCTCAGTGCAAATTCTCCTTTACAGACCACAAGTTGGGTCCTACATTGTGTTTTAAAAATAATAGTATTCTAAAGCTTATTTTTATACCGGACATGGCTGTCAGCTTGGTTTTAATCACTCTGAAAATCATAATGGCTAATTTGATTATGATCATATTTCCTTTACTTCTCAGAACATGGATTTCTTCCAGTTAAGGACAATAACCTCTGGGATGTTAAATAAAGAAACAGACCTGAAGTTTTATTTTTATGCTAATGGATTTGAATCATTCCTAATTAAGCTTGGTTTCAAGTGTGCTCATCCGAGCACAGATTTACCCCCAGTAAAAGTCGGGAGTCACACCACCGACCTCAGGGCAGTTCTGCTGTAGGTGTGCGGGGACTCCCAGATCTCTCACACTTATAATGTTGGTAAGAGCTGATACAATCAGTGTCTGAGAAGGCAAAAAGGTTTAGAAAATTTGGTCTATCATCATATCTACAATAATAACCAAGTGGCTGGTGGTGCTTAGCCTAGAAGAAGAGAGACTAAAGTGGCCTTCAAGTAGACAGAAGGCTGCTTTAAGGACCTCGGTTACTCTTTGTACATACTGAGGGTAGAAGAAGGGCTAACTGGATTAAGTCATAACAAAGGAGATTGAAATTAGGTATTAGGAAAAAAAATCAGATTATAGCCTCAAACCAACCAATATCCTAAGACTACAGGTCTGCTGTCATGAGAAACTTCAACAGTTTTATCAAGGATGGTCTTACAGAACAGCCCAGGCTGGAGGGGACCTCGAAGGATCATCTGGTCCAACCTGCGGTGGGAAAGGGAGTCTGGGTGAGATTATCGAGCGCCCTGTCCTATCATGTCTTGAAAATCCCCAGCAGTGTGGACTCTAGCACGTCCCTGGGGAGGTTGGTGCCCAGTGAATGATGGTTCTCAGTGTAAAAAATATTGGAACCTCTCCCAGTGCGATGTGTACTCCTTGCCCCTTGTCTTTCCACACGGCTCCTTGTGACAAGCGTGCCATCATCATCTCCGTGGACACCCTTTAAGTACACTGTGAACACCGCGCTGAGGTTGCCCCATGGAGAAGAGACCCGATTCCTTCAATCTTTCCAGGTAGGGCAGGTTCTTCAGACCTTTGATCATCTCCATGGCCCTCCTTTGGACCCTCCAGCCCCTTCCCAAATCACCTTGTCCCTAAGATGCGACCAGACCACCGCTGCCCCTGGCTACCTCTAGCCACAGAGCATCACAGAGGCTGCCTGTGCCTCCTGTCACAGCTCTGTCAGGGGGATCCTCGGTGCTGGGGCCTCCTTCCCCTCTCCTTGAAGGAGACAGGTTTGAAGGCGTAATAAGCTTTCACGTGTGCCTAACGCAAGTTTCCCTGGAAACGTCAAGCCACGTTGTTTACATTTTGGTCGTTATACGGTCTAACGACAAAAACTAACGAAACTGGTGGGTGTTTTGGGGGAAAGCTGAGTCGGGCTGAGAGGCCTGGCGGGGTTGGTCTGCCGGGCAGGGCAGGCCGCAGCCGCCATATCAGGCCCGCGTTCCCATGGCAACGGGAGGCCGCCCCCTGTCTGGGCGACCAGAGAGAGCGGCCTCCAGCCGGGAAGAGAGGACACCCCTCCTGCCGCCTTCCCGGCGGGCGACTCTGAGGTTTCTCTTCCGGGTTGCGCGTACGGCGGCCGCGGAGGGCCAAGCGGTAGTATGGCGGCGCACCTGAAGAAGCGGGTGTACGAGGAGTTCACCAAAGTGGTCCAGGTAACGCTGTGCCGGGGGGGGACACGACACACAGCCCCGAGCTCTGCAGTGCGGCGGGGGAGGCGGGACTGAGGGAAAAGCTGCCGGCCGAGCCCGCGGCCTAGTCTGGGAGTGCTGCCCGCTGCTATGGGGGGGCTGAGGAGGAGCGGGAGGGATTGGCACCGCGTTTAGGGAGGTCGAAGGTGCCTACAGGGAATGGGGGCTGCCTCAGGGTGTGTGTGTATGTTGCGGGGGGGATAGTTCTCCCCTCAGGGCCGCGTCTGCTGGGGGAAGGAGGACCACGGCTTCCCCCAGCCCGAGCTGAGGGAACGGCAGTGAGTTTCTCAGGTGGCGGGCATGGGACAAGCCGGGTTTGCCCTGGGGTGGTTGTCTGGGGTTGGGAAGGGGCAGGATTCGCGCTGGGTCGGGGATAGGAGAGGCAGGGTTTCCCGGGGATAGGATGGGAGGTGCCACAGGAGGCTGGGGATGCGTTCCTTCCTCAGGTCTGAGGGGCCAGTGACCGCCGTGGGGCACAGCAGCTTGCTCAGGCTTGGTGCTGAGACTGTTCTCTCTGGGAAGGAGTGGGTCAGGGTTTGCTCTGTGTTTCTGAACCCTGCCTCTCTGCCTGCAGCAGCAGCATGAGGACCTTTCTTCTAAAAAGCTGCGGCTGACCAAGCCCAGCAAGTCAGCAGCGCTCCATGTCGACCTGTGCAAAGCCACCTCGCCCGCAGATGCCTTGCAGTACCTGCTTCAGTTTGCCAGGAAGCCGGTGGAAGTGGAGAGCGTGGAAGGGGTTGTCAGGATCCTGCTGGAGCATTATTACAAGGTGCTGAACCTGGGAGGCAAGCGTGCTTCCACAATCCTCCTGGGCTTGTTTTCTGGGTGTTGTAGGTGGTATAGGAAGTCATGGGCTTCTGTGTTGCTGCCTCAGTTTTCAACAGCCTGGGCTGTTGGAAACCCTCGGTGAGGAGAGTGAGTGACTGTAGTCCTTAACTCGAGTGATTTCTGATAATTTTACTTGGTCCCTGTGGTGATGGTTTCAGGAGCCTGTGACAAGGGTGTGACTGTGGTATCCCTGCAGATACCCTGCATGATTAGTCTTAAATTAACTTAATAAGGAACAAAAGACATGAGAAGAAGTTTTCCAGGGAACCCAGCTCTCTGGAGCTGTTTCAGCTTTATCTAAATCCTTCCTGACTGATGTTTCCTTACCTTCCTCTTAATTTTCTCTAGCAGTGGAGAAACTTTTTAGCTATTGCTTCTGCTGCAAACAAAGCACTTTTAAAATGACGCTTCTGAAAAACTTTTCAACAAAAAAAATCTTAACAGCAGAGTAACAACTAAGTGACAGAAGTAATATATGCTTCATAGTAATGTACGCTTCCTACAGATATTGATCCTTCACTTGATAAACAAAACTTTATGGCATCTGACAAAGCTGTACTGTAGGCTGAAACACTTATCATAAATGTCCTTCTGCTGTTCTGTTTGTATTTCTACAGTTGAGTCTGTTTTGTTGAATTTACACTAAAGCTCTAAGTTGTGCTTCACCTATTTCTGTACTCAAGCTGCTTTGGCTTGTGTGTTGAGACTGGTTTACATTTTGTTGATGGGAACTTATTTTTGTCATTGGACTGTTCCCTGCTCAAGAGAGCATGCAGCTTAAGGAACCTAGCCTATTTCATCTTCTGCAAACAAAACTGTGGTTCCTGATCAAATAATACAGGTTATTTGTGTTTGAAGTTTGTTTTGTAGCCTGGCTCAGAAGAGAGACTAGTCAATTTACAGATGTGATCACATTTTCAGTGCATAGCCTGTTACAGAAACCAGCTTTTAAAAAGCATTGCAGTCCTGTAGCTGACATTATTTTCCTTAAGGTCAAAATTTTCTGAAGAACAGGTTTCTTAGTATCTCCAGAATAATTGCACTTGAACTGATCTTTCAGAAACCTAATTGTGTGATGATCTATTTGTAGTGTCATTGTTTTGTTTAAGGTGGTGCTGCAGCCTTCTGCTCCTTCATTCCTTTATATTATAATAGGACAGTCCCCAAACAGTCCTGATGGCCTCTGAAATGGATCAAAAAAATATTATTTGGCTTTTTATTTTTCTATTTTTCACCCATAGTTCCCATGGCCCTGCTGACATTTGAATCAACAAGGCTGAGCAGGGGGCATGTTGCAATGTGTGGGGGAAAGCCAGGGGGACAGGGTACTGTAAGCTGGTGTTGCTGCTGGGGATGGTTTGTCCAGAAACAGTGGCCTGAGGCAATCCTGAAAGTCCCTTCATGATTCCGGAGGGTGGTTGGACGAGGGGTTAGAGGCCCTTTCACTTACTGGTGTTTTGGTCGTGGAGATGGCAAACAGATCTGCAAACTAAAAGGATATCTTTCTATAATTTCCTGCTCACAAACCATTAGAAGGAGAGAGAAAATGCCCTCTGGGGTGGGAGGCTACTTGTAACTTGATAATAATATTTCAAACATTATTCATAAGACTATTAAAAGTGCCTTTATAAGTGTCCTTTTCAAAATCATTGATTTATTCTGTACTCATGGCATCCTTTAATTAAAAGAACATGAGTAATGGAGAGTAAACACAACAATATTGTGGAAATCCATGCATCCTACCCCTTATGTAAGCAGTCTAATGACAGTGACTGTTGTTCAAGCACATAGTTTTGACCCTGAAAAAAAGAAAATGCTTTTCACCTCAGCTGAGAAAGAGATTACTCCTACAGGTATCACATTTATCACTTGAGGGGAGTGTGGGACACTGAAGTCTCCTAAACACTGTTGGAAGATGTAAAAGTTGAAACTGTAATACTTCTGCACCTGTTGAAAGATGTAATATTTGTAATTTCATTATTTCTGCACTTCTGTGTTCAACATTGCACAATTGCTTAGTAAGACCTAAGTATGAAATCCAGACTTCTTTTTGTCTAACTGTATTGGATATCCTTGGCAATGCGATGAAAGAGAGAGCTTCCAGTTATGACCGGAAATCTTGTGTGCACAAGTGTGTAGAAGACTCAAAGTAATAACTCCTTGAATTGCATGAACTTTTAAAATAATCTAAAATGAATACTAATCTGTGAAGCCTATTTCTGTAATTATCAACTGTGACAGCTTTTGCGGTTCCTTAAATGAGCAGATGTATGCAGCTAACATGCTTCTATTTTTTTTTTTTTTTTTTTAACCTTCTTGTGTTGGGTTTCTTTCTTTTGAGAAAGACTGGCAGGATTCCTCCTCATCGTTAAGAGAAGCAGTTGTTTTCTGTAGTCCACAGACCCTCCTGCTTAGCAGAGGTGAACAGACCATCAATCTCAGTTCATCTTCTAAAATTCTCCCATTTGTTCACTAAAAACTTGCAAAGATATTAACATAAACA